TCATTTGTATTACTTTGGCAATTCCAAAGGTTTTCCTTTAAAAATAATTGTCACGTGCGATTCCAAATAACACTGTGCTGTGTGTCCCTGTGTCCCGAGGAAAGTCCCCCGTGTGTCCCCAGTGTGAGCCCTGGCCCCCACCTCCTGGCCAGCAGCCCTAGGGCATCCCTGGGAAGATGGACCCAAACCACTTCCAGCTCCCTGCCCCCCCCGGGATGGGGAAAGACAAAAGAGGATGTCGAGGCTGCAAGGCGGAGGCAGGAGTGGGAGCAGTGGGATGACTGGGACCTCTCCGGCATGGGGATGCGTCCCTTCCCAGGCAGGGCCACCCAAGATGGGGTCCCCTGGGGGGGTTCACCCCTGGGCGAGGGGTTTGCACCCAGGTGGTTTGGCTGAGGGGGGCTGCATCCGGCTGAAGCTCAGGGGGAATTCTGCAGGGCGCTGAGGCAGCGTCTGGCATGTGCCACCTGTGTCCCTGTGCCGGCTGGAGGGTCCCTTGGCCCCCGCGGGAGGGACCCCAGGGGCAGGGCCCTGCGGGAGTTATTAGCACTTTCCTTTTGCAATCCAGCTATTTTCTTACAGAAGTACCGCCCTGTGCGTGATGGTCACAGAGGCGTTGGGGAAAGGAGAAGCAGAGTACAGGGTTAGAAATTCTTATAGAGCTGGTGGAAATATTTTTATCCCTCCACAACCCTTCTCAATAAATACGGCTGACCCGGCTTGTCTGCAACCCCGCGTCGCGGGCGGTGAGCACCCCACATCCCCGGGTGAGTGAGGATGGGTGCTGACAGTGCTCAGCCCCACAGCCTCTTGCTCCTGGCTCCCATTTCCCTGGAAAAAGTTGAAAATGGATACTGGGGGGCTTGTGCTGTACCCACAGGGGCACTCAGCTTGAGGTGGGGTGGGAGAGCCCTGTGGGATCCGTCTCCAGGGATGAGGGGGCACACAAGGATGAGGTCCCTCCCGCCTGCTGCTGGCTCATCCCTCTCTCCGGAGCTGCCTTAGGGTGCTGTGGCCTGGGGTGCTGCTGGTGTCGGGGCCGTGATGGGAACTGGGGGTGCAGAGCAGGGAGCCTCAGCCAGGGCACGGAATTGCCCTTCACATGCTGCTCCCGGACACCCCCCACGGTGGGTGAACCGTGCTGGGAGAACCCCCCTCAAGGACCCAGGTATCCCAGTTCTGCTTCACAGGAGCTGCGGGGTGAGGGGGTGAGGACTGGAACCAGGACGGGCGAGAGCTGCGTCTCTACCTGCCTTCCAGTGAGCATCATCCACCTGCACCCCATTATCCCAGGGCCACCCGGGGCTGAGCTGCTCCATGGGGCTTCCCTGGGGCCATCTCCATCCTCACAGCCGGGAGCTGCTCTCCCTGCAGCCCAGAGGAAATGCCCGACGTTTGCTCGAGTTTAGGGTGATGAGTACAAGTTGCGTAACGTGTGTGTGGGGACCAGGGGAGGCACGAAGGATCCACAGACAGCTCAGACAGCCCCGGGCTGGGGTCTTCATCTCAGATTTGGCTCTCCCTTCCCAAGGCAGGGTCTGTCCTTCCTCTCCCAAGCACGGACACAAAGACACCCACCCTGAGGTCTAATTCCCACACAGGTCTCAGCCCCTGCCCCACATTTCCCCACAGCTGCGTCGCACAGACGCCAGCCCACCGGAGTCCCAGAGCTGCCTGGGGGAAGCCCCAGGAAGGTGTTGGCCGCACAGGACCAAGGGGGAGAAAGCCGGCCCGTCTCCAGCTTTGCTCTGTCTGGGGAAGCTGCTCCCCACCGACCCATCTCCAGCTCTCCAGGAAGAGCAGCTGGGCGAGGGGCAGAGGGATGGAGCTGCTCCAAACCCAGCTCAGCACCCCTCGGCGTGGGACCCCCATGCATTCCAGGTGGCAAAAGTGACCCAGGACCCCCAGTTCCAGCTTTAGCAGAAGCTTGGAAGAATGAAAAAGTTCTGCTCTATTGAACAACTGGAAAAAGGTACAAGGGGGAGGGGTGGTCGTCTGGGGGATCCAAACACAACTGTGGGGTTTGGGGCATCCAACATTCTTGTGGAGCAACTGCTACTTCTTGCCACTTTTCTTCCTGCTTTCGATCAGGCGCAGCCCCTGCTTCTTGATGTCATCTCAGGTGAGGACAAGGCCAAGGTCTTGGTCCTCAAAATCAAAGGGGTCTGGAGGAGAGAGTGGAGAGGAGTGGGCTGGGGAGGGTCTGTGGGGTCACCTCTGCTCTGCCCTTGTCCCTGGGGACAGCCAGCAAGTTTTGGAAGGCTGGTGGCATCCCAGAGAGCCCTTGGGCATAGGCACTGCCACACGGCTCTGCCAGCCCAGCGTCCCAGGGTGACCTTCATGGCCTGGTGGTGCCACCGCTGTGGCCCATTCCCAACACTGCTGGGGCTTCCCAGAGAGGTCTGGAGCTACAGGGCGGGGGGTACAGCTCCTGCTCTGTCAGGAAAAGGTGGTGAGCTGCTAAAAGCTCATGGTCTCCTCTATGAGCATCCAACAGGAGGGGGTCACAGGCAGAACCAAGCGCTGGTTATCCTTCACACCCATCTGCTTTGGAAGAGGGGGTCTCTCTCTCCTTGTCCCACAGCATCCCACCTTGTTCCTGCTGCGATCTGGTGCTCACCACCCCACCGGCTGCCTTCATTCTCCCACGTTCCCCCCTAAAACCACCACCTATGTCCAAAGCCTTAGGGACAGCCAAGGTCAGGCCCAAGGTCTGAAGGCAACTCATGGGTTGGGGTCTGTGGGGACAGTGAGAGACAGACAAGGATGCCCAGAAATCCCCGCAGGCAGGGGCTGGGACTTTTTTTTTGTCCCCGCTGGGATCTCCTACCTTGAGCCCGACTGCCTGTGTCCTCCAAGGAAACCTTCAGGTTCTGCGGGTCCTTGGCTGTTGTTTTCTCCAGAAGATTCACCTTCACAGAAGTCTGTGAAAGACCCCCTGGGTGAATTACCAAAGGAGAGGTGGGGGTTACAACCCCAGGGCTGCCCCACCTCAGTGTCACCCTTGGGGGGGACATCCCGCAGTGCCCAGGGCCACCTGGGACTGAGCTGCTCCATGGGTCTTCCCTGGGGCCAACTCCATCCTCCCAACTGGGAGGGCGGCTTGGGATGGGCCACCCGGGAGAGCCCCGTGTGGGTCCCCAAAACCACAGCAGGGATGGAGCCCCTGCGCACCTCGTTGTCTTCATCAGGGCTGTGCCTGTGTGGGGGCAGGTCGGTCACCCGCTGCACCAGGTACTGCAGCTTCTGCTTGCACAGCTGGAGCTTCTCCTCCACGCTGCCGGCCCTGACGGAATCGTCCTGCAGGCAGGGAGAGAAGAACCCCCTCGGTGGGAAAACGAGCCCCTTGGGGCGACGGTGGCTGCACTTTGGTGGCTGCACCGAACGTCACCGCACTGGGCTGTTGCACCACCGAGCGCTGGCCAGGGCCATCTCACCCCAGCGCTGCACAGGTACCTGCCCGGGCACAGGGATGCCCTGCAGACGGATGAAGAGGTGCTCCACGCCGCTTTCAAAGTCGAGCAGGGTCTCCTTATTCCTCTGCGTCTGGGCTCGCATCTGCTCCAGCCGAGCCTCCTCCCGCTGCAGGTTCGCCCTCAGCTCCTCCTCCAGCATCCTGGAGCCAAATACATTCCCACCCATACAGCTGCCTGGGGGTGCAGAGACACCCCAAATCTGTTGCAAAAGCTGCTCAGGTTGTGTGCCTCCCATGACTGTAGGCAGAGCAGAGATGCTGCCTGCAACCCAACTCCGCACGGCTGGTACCACTTCTCTCAGCAGGCAAGGAGCAAGGGTCTGTCCTCCTGCTGCCGCAGCAGGACCTTGGGGTGCTCTGCCGGGACCAGAGCAGGGGGAGCACCCTGCTCAGAAAACCACCTGATGTGTGAGGCGTGGGCGGCTGCAGCAGGACAGAGGAAGGGGTGCCCTGCGACACGCGTGATGCCCATGTGTCCTCCCCCCAAGGGTGTTGCCTGGGTGGCACAACTGTCCCGAGGCCAGCAGCACCTGGTTGTGTTGGGGGGCTGGTGAAACTTGAGCTCATCCCGCTTCAGCTCCAGCTCCATCAGGGTCTCCTTCAGCACTGACGTCTTCTCCGTGAGCTCCCTGACGAGCTGCTCCAGGTCCCCCGAGGAGTTCTGCTGCACCAGGAGCCTGCTGGGGATGTCCTGGCCGTGGGAGAGCATGAGGAGTCAGCTCATGGGGCTCCTGCGGGGTACAGGATCTGGGCCGTGGCCTCGGGGAGGTTTCTGCACCATAGAGCGCTGCAAATTCACATCATGGAGAAAAGCAGCTCCATCCCTCCCACACAAGAGGGGCTTTGGGGGGCTCCAGGGGCAGGGGAGAGCAGATAACCTCGCAATCAAGCAAGGCAAGCAGAGAGCTCTCAGCTCCCTGGGGCTCAAGCAGCCCCCAGTTTTACCAGGGATGGGCTTTTACATTACCCGGAGGCGGGAGCACTGCACTGCAGCCTTGGCCCTCTCCATCTTCTTGGTCACCCGGGCTTCCTGTTCCGTCTGGGACTTGCTGGCTTCCAGCTTGGTGCCTGGGGTGGGAAGGAAGCAGCAGGGAAAGATGTCTGTGGCTGCACCCATGACCCATTCCCCTGCACCCCACCAAGCACTCACCCTCCAGAGGGTCCTCCGGGTGCCGGGTCGAGAAGTCAGTGGTGCGCTCGTACCTTCCTTGCTGCAAGGACATTCATCGTCACCCCCCAAGCTGTGGCACCGTGAGGGAGCTGGCTCTGCAGCCAGTGCACCCATGGGGGGCTTGGCACTGACCCCAGCCAGTGCCAGGTCCCCCAGCTCACCGCTCTCAGGTGCCTTTCCCTTGCTTCCTTCAGCCAGGCTCTGTTGATGGGCACCTTCTGCTTTCCCGGGGAGCGGTACCCGAGTTCTCTCTCTGCCAGGATCCGGCTATTTGTCTTGGCCATGTCCACCTGGAGTGTAACAGAGAAGGGACAAGTGGCTGCTGACGCCAGCACTGTGAGCCCTCTGAGCTTCAGGGATGGTCAGCATCGAAAATGACCCCCTCCCAGTGATAAAGGACTGGGAAGGAAACTGGGCAAGGAGGGATGGAGGATGGAGCATATTGCCTTCCCGGTGGCTGGTGCTCCGGGCAGGCTGTCCCAGCCTCAGGGCAGTCTGGCCCAAGAGCCAGACCCAGGAGGAGCTGTGGAGGCATCTTGGTGCTGTGGGCAAGCCCAGATCAGTCACTCCTGCTCTTCCAGCAGCAAGACTCCCAGCCCAGGCACGTGGTGCCATCTCTGGGCTCCGGAGAGTAGGAAAGGGTCCCAAGGTGCCCCAGACCATCTCACCTTGGTGACATCACTGGCTTTGCGGGCATCCGAGGACATGAGCTCCAGGTCTTCCAGCTCCCTCTGGTACATATTGGCTGTCCCGCACAGGAGGTCCAGGGGCAGAGGTAGGTGGGCCAGCTCCTGGGACATAGGGAGCCACATCACATCACTCCACCAAGCCTCAGGGGTTGCCCGTGCTGTGGCAGGGGATGGAGGGGAGCAGGAGCACCCTGCTGATCCAGGAGGACATCCCACCAGCACAGCCCCTTGGGCACCTCATTGCCTTTGCAGGGGCAGTGGGTGGGACGATGGCACGGTGAGGAACTCACCTTCCTCAGGGCATCCTGCAGTGCCAGGTACAGGGCGGTCACCCTCTCTCCAGCCTGGACTTTGGCCAGCATCTTCGCAATACTCTTCTCCAGACGGCGAACCATCTGGGGCAGAGCCGGTGGGTGACACACAGTGTGAGCCCATGTACTGAGCCCAGCACCCACATGTGGGGCGCAGGCATTGGATTAAAGCCCCCTGTGAGTGCTGCCACCCCAGGAAAGGGTCCTGGGTACCTGCATCTGCTCCCAGTGCTGCTTGTCCCCCAGCTCAGCATCCTGCAGTTGCTGCAGCCGCTTCTGCAGCTCGTCCAGGGCTCGGCTCCGCTGGTTCAGCTGGTGCAGGAGCACATTGCACTTGTTTGCCTGCTCATAGATTTCACCACGGAGCTTCTCCTGGGCCTCCTGGATGGACACACGAGGGTTTGTCAGGCTGGGGGCAAGGCTCACTGGGCATCTGTGGGAGGAGAGGACCCTGCCTGGAAAACTGCCCCCGAGGTAGAGCCAGGGACACTGGGATGTTGCCCCAGGAGTGTTGTCACTCCCTTAGCCGGACAGGGTCTAGGAGAGCTTTGCTCTGGGAGGGCTGGTTGGGGTAAGGCAGAGGTGGGCATCTGCTGATGGCAGTGGGGGTTGGGTTAGGGACTCTGAGTAACGCAAACCCAGGGCTGGGTGTCAATAAAATCCATCAGTGCCCCAGATGCTGGTGGAGAGTGGCCCCAGGCAAAGGCCAGCTCCACGGGCTTAGAACCAGGCCACAACCTCGGGACAGGCTGTGACAGGCAGAGGCAGCACCTCTCTCCCAGGGATGCACCTGGACCCGCAGGAGCCCAGACAGCCCCGGGGACCCGCAGGGTGGAATGGCCAGGAGTTCTGCTGGCATGAGGGATCTGCTCAGGGAGCTAAAGGAGGACCTGCATGAACGGGTCCCACAGTGGAAAGG